TCTGATTTAACCAGCAAAAAATGTGATTTAATCAAAACATGTGATTTAACCAGCAAAACATGTGATTTAATCAGCATAACATATGATTTAATCAGCAAAAAATGTGATTTAATCAAAACATGGTAGTTAATCAGCAAAACACGTGATTTAATCAGCAAAAAATGTGATTTAACCAGCAAAACATGTGATTTAATCAGCAAAAAATGTGATTTAACCTGCAAAAAAATGTGAATTAACAAGCAAAAAATGTGATTTAATCAGCGAAACATGTGATTTAATCAAAACATGTGAGTTAATCAGCAAAAAATGCGATTTAATCAGCAAAAAATGTGATTTAATCAGCAAAACATGTGATTTAATCAAAACATGTGAGTTAATCAGCAAAACATGTGATTTAACCAGCAAAAAAAATATTTAATCAGCAAAAAATGTGATTTAATCAAAACATGTGAGTTAATCAGCAAAACATGTGATTTAATCAGCAAAAATGTGATTTAACCAGCAAAACATGTGGTTTAATCACCCAAAAAAATGATTTCATCAGAAAAAAATGTGATTTAACCAGCAAAACATGTGATTTAATCAGCAAAAAATGTGATTTAACCAGCAAAAAAACTGATTTAACCAGCAAAACATGTCATTTAATCAACACATGTGATTTAACCAGCAAAACATGTGATTTAATCAGCAAAACATGTGATTTAATCAGCAAAGCATGTGATTTAATCAAAGCATGTGATTTAATCAGCAAAACATGTGAGTTAATCAGCAAAACATGTGATTTAATCAGCGATTTAACCAGCAAAAAATGCGATTTAATCAAAACATGTGAGTTAATCAGCAAAACATGTGATTTAATCAGCAAAAAATGTGATTTAACCATCAAAAAAAGGATGTAACCCGCAAAAATATGCGATTTAACCTACAAAAAATGTGATTTCATCAGCAAAAAATGTGATTTAATGGTGCTGGGAGAAAAATGCTAACAAAAAGGTGGTAATTATATTGATGGGATCCATATTACCAAAATATAGCAGCACCATGGATCCTATGGGTTCAGATTGCTGTGGCTTTACTAAGCACATCCGGCATCCGATTGCTCAAAACACCCCATGTTCCCGCCATGTTGGATCCATAAAATCGCCTGCAAGTCGGGCTGGCTGCGCCATGTGGTGCTGGGCGTATCCGAAGTGATCTTGGCCAAAGCCTGCTGCACCTGGTAAACTTGAAACAAAGCGAGAAATCGTGAGTTAATCAGCAAAAGTTGTGAATTTATCAGCAACAATTGTGATTTAATCAGCAAAAAATGTGATTTAATCAGCAAAAAATGCGTTTTGATCAGCAAAAAATATGATTTAACCAGCAAAGAATGTGATTCAACCATCAAAAAAAGGGATTTAATCAGCAACAAATGTGATTTAACCTACAAAAAATGTGACTTAATTACTTTTCTTCGTGTGATCCCCACCATGACATTTATACATTTTCTTGCTGGCAAATCTTCTGGCATTCTATCTGACATATCTTCTGACATTCTATTTGGCATTCTATCTAGCATATCTTCTGGCATTCTATCTTCTGGCATTCTATCTGGCAAATCTTCTGGCATTCTATCTGGCATATCTTCTGGCATTCTATCTGACATATCACTTCTTGCGCATATCTTCCTGGCATTCGATCTGGCAAATCGTCTGGCATGCATCTGACAATTTCTGGATTCAATCTGGGCATACTTCTGGAATTCTACCAGGCCATATCTTCTGGAATTCATCTGGCATATCTTCTGCGTTATTATTTGGCAAATCTTCTGGCATCTATATGGCAAAACATTCTGGCCCTTTATCTGGCATACCTTCTGGCTTCTTCTGGCATTCTATATGGCATCTATCTGGGTATCTCATGGGCATTTATCTGGCAAATCTTTGGATTCTATCTGGCATATTTTGTGCATTTTCATCTGACCATTTTATCTGGCATTTCTTATTGGGCTACCTTCTGGCATTCTATCTGGCTTATCTTCGGGCATATAATCTTGTAATCGTTCTGGCATTCTATTCGGGCAATATATTCTGGCATTTCGATCGGCATCTGTTGTGGCATTCTATCTGGAAATTTTATTCCTGGCATTCATATTGGCATACTCTTCTGGCATTCGATTCTGGCAATATTCTTTCTGGCCTTCTATCTGTATATCTTCTGCATTCTATGGCATATCTTATGGCATTCTATCTGGAATATCTCATGGCATTTATCTGGCAATATTCTTCTGGATCATTCTATCTGATCTGGCTATATCTCTGTCATTCATCTGGCATTATCTCTGAAATTCTTTCTGGCATTCTATCTGGAATATCTGTTGACATTCTTTATCGGGACATCGTTTCTGAAATTCTTCCCGTTGAGGCCAGGCAGTGCCCACTGCGATCTGGAAGTCGCGGTTGAGGTCCGGCAGTGGCCCACTGACGACCTGGAGTCTGCGGGTTGAGGCGTCCGGCCCCCAAGTTGCCTGCCAAACTGGGAATCGGGAGCTCGCGGTGGAGGTCCCCGGCAGTGCCCACTGCGATCTGGAAGTCGCGGTTGAGGTCCGGCAGTGCCCACTGCGACCTGGAAGTCGCGGTTGAGGTCCGGCAGTGCCAACTGGGATCTGGAGCTCGCGGTGGAGGTCCGGCAGTGCACACTGGGATTTGGAGCTCGCGGTGGAGGTCCGGCTGTGCCCACTGCGACCTGGAAGTCGCGGTTGAGGTCCGGCAGTGCCAACTGGGATCTGGAGCTCGCGGTGGAGGTCCGGCAGTGCCCACTGGGATTTGGAGCTCGCGGTGGAGGTCCGGCTGTGCCCACTGCGACCTGGAAGTCGCGGTTGAGGTCCGGCAGTGCCAACTGGGATTTGGAGCTCGCGGTGGAGGTCCGGCTGTGCCCACTGGGATCTGGACTGCGAGGACAAAGCGGCGGGTGAGGAGGCGGAGGAGGCGGAGGTGGAGGCGGAGGATGCGGAGGCGAGGAGGCTCTGATAAAATCTAACAACCCTCACCTGGCAGGTGGGGAATCAGCAACAATTGTGATTTCAAGTGATTTGACATGATTTAACCATAAGCCACTTGTAAACTTGGGCTTGATCTGCCGTAAATATGGCGATTTGAGCAGCAAAAATGGGGATGTCAAATTAATACGACGATAAGTACTAGTACTGTGTTTTGCCCAGGCTAAGTGTTGGACTTGTGACAAATACATCTATAATTAGATGGGAGTTATAAACTTCTGGTTCTTTAACATAGCGAACTGGAAAATGACAAGTTCTTTTAATAGGCAAACCATCGTTTTTATTTTTATCATCTATTTCTGTGGTCCATCTATACCATATAGCTGGGTTGAATAACCAAAGGGTACAGCTGGCTAGTAGCCCTTCTTGCAAATGGGGGATTTGGGCTAGCCATGGAGATTAGACCAGGCATGATCTGGGATATGATGTGGATATGTTTTTTGAGATCCTAAAGTTGTTTGGTTTGCATAGTAGTCTGGGGATATTGCGGCAAACACATCAATATGATACAGAATCATACAGATAAGAGATGATAACAGCACTACATTGTAGGATATTTCAGGGGAACATATCTAGTTTTATCAAATGCGCAGCAGCACCCACTTAAATGGGACATATCGAAGTGTAGAGGTTTGTCCAAACTTGGGAGGATACACCAATCATTTTATGCGGATGGCAATGTAATGCGGATATTACGGTTTCTGGGGATCTACATTTGGGCCCCACTAGAGTGATTCAGTCCAGGTATACTTTTGTAGTGACCCTTCAACAACGATATACAACAATGTCCATGTCAACTGGGAACAACACCTGCATCATATCGTCATACCAAAATGTTGAAACATGCTGAAACCGGAAAGAAACTGCCGTGACGGGGCACACGATCGGATTGAAATCTGTAGTTCCAACGATTTCTCAGATCTTCCCAGCTACCCTCTGGTAAACATACAAAAAGCTATTCGAAAATGGCCATTGAGTTCGTGGATTTACCCATTAATAGCATGGTGGATCTTTCCAGTTCGTTACGTAAACGTTTACCAGAGGGTAACCCCAGTTATAAATGGGATAAGTAGACTTAAGTGACTTAATCCACAAAAATCACTGGACCATCATGGGCTCCATGGTCGCCCCTTAATGGTTGAGCTTAAAATTCCGCGGCACGGATTGCAAGAGCATGGCTTCTTCAGCTTCCAGAAGTTGAATGGAGGTCTCCGCATCCTCTGAATCCTGGCCGATGTCATTCCCCAAGTTGGACATATTTGGAACATGGAGCTCAGTTGGTGAAAATCACTTCAATAACTAGAGGGTTCTGGTATATAGATATACGTATATAAATATAGTTTATTATATGTATATATGTTATATAATCGAAGGAAGTTTAGAAGTGAAACTTCCGACAATATGGACAGTTGAAAAGCAGAGGTGAAAAGAGTCAGAAGAGAAAAGATCAGAAGAAAGAAGAGGTAGATGCGCGAAAAGATAGGAAAGTCGCGATTCACTGTGTTTTTTCAATGATTTGTGGCTCCGGAGGGTCGAAAAGTAGGCTCGCTAAAGCGGCGGGTGCGGAGCCAGCTGGCCAGATGAGACATGAAAAAGTGCACGCCGTTGTGGCGCGAAGCACATTTCCAAGTCAAAATGGACAAAACACTAGAGGATCGGACCACTTTTGGAAGTTGAGAGTCGAAAAAGTGCACGCCGTTGTGGCGCGAAGCACATTTCCAAGTCAAAATGTACAAAACACACCAGGTTCGGACCACTTTTGGAAGTTATGATGTCGAAAAAGTGCACGCCGTTGTGGCGCGAAGCACATTTCCAAGTCAAAATGTGCAAAACACACCATTCTCGGAGCACTTTTGGAAGTTGAGATGTCGAAAAAGTGCACGCCGCTGTGGCGCGAAGCACATTTTGAAGTCAAAAGTGTTAAAAACTGACGGTCTCGGACCACTTTTGGAGCTTCGGATGTCGAAAAAGTGTCGAAAAAGTGCACGCCGTTGTGGCGCGAAGCACATTTCGAAGTCAAAAGTGTAAAAAACTGGGGGTTTTGAGCCTTTTTTGACGTGAAGATGTCGAAAAAGTAGACACTGATTAACTTAACTAACTTCACTAACTTAACTAACTTCACTAACTTAACTACCCTAACTTCGACGACAACAGCAACAGCAACAGCAACAACAACAACAACAACACCAACCACAACAACAACACCAACACCAACCACAACAACTACAACTACAACAACTACAGCTACAACTAGAACTCCAACAACAACAACAACAGCAACAACAACAACAACAGCAACAACAACAATTACAACTACAACTACAACTACACAACAACTACAGCTAGAACTACAACTACAACAACTACAGCTACAGCTACAACAACAACAACGACAAAAACAACAACAACTACAACTACAACAACAGCAACAACTACAACAACAACAACTACTACTACTACTACAACTACACTACACAACAACTACAACCACACAACAACTACAGCTACAACTACAACAACAACTACTACAACTACAACAACTACAACTACAACTACAAAACAACTACAGCTACAACTATATGACTGCAACTACACTACACTAATTACATTACACCACAACTACAACTCCACTACGCTACAACTACAACTACAGTTGCAGTACATCACACTACATCCAGCAGTTGTGGGTGAGGTGACCACTGCAACCATTGCAACCACTCCAGCAACACAACTCCAACCACCTTTCGGTCAATCAGTGGATTCGCTCTGCCATCCGTGATTCACAACAACCAACGTCTCCTATAGGTTTCCTATTCTGAAGCTTCCGCCACCGCCTTGTGCGGTACTACTGGTATATCTATATATAGATATGCCTATAGATGGGGCTTAATATGGCTTTATAATTTATATTATATATGTATATATATATATATATGCCCAACATACCATTGGGATCCCCATGGGGCAGAGAGGATCTTCGGCATCATTTTCTCAAGTTGTAAGGAAAACTCAACGGATCTCACCAGTGTTCGGCTGCAAAGAGTCACATGGCTACCCTCTGGTAAACTGTCACATCACTATGGAAAATCACCATTTTTCATGGGTAAATCAACTATAAATGGAACATGTTCAATAGCTTTTTGTATGTTTACCAGAGGCTACTTTCATTTTTGTTGTGGGGTCCTGAGACTTCCCCCGCACCCATCCGTGCTGGGCGTCCATATCCCTGATGAGCTTGTCGTGTGGCTCCATGGAATCAAAGAAAGAAACAGCCTCAGCCAAGGGTAGGGGCTCAGCAAGCTGAGAATCTTTACCCTTGGCGTCCCTTGGCCCCATGGCCATGGCCTAGACTGCTCCCGCAGCAAAGTTGAGTTTTATAGCGGCATGTGGCGGAATATAGTTGTCCAGTGTATAAATGTAGCGAACAAATGGTGACTAACTTAAAGTGTAATGTGTTGTGTTTCAGTTCCTAAATGACAACAAATTCATACAAAACCAATGAACCCATTCATGAACCCATTCATCAGCTTACAAGTAAGCAAGATTCTGGGCCTTTCAAAACATGGACAAAGACAACATGTGTTCAGACCCTTAGGACGGTATGACGGTATGACCTTCCAGCAACTGGAACACATGCCAGTTGGTGGTCGCGAATGCTCCTTCTCGCCTGGCTTTAAAGCATCCACCATGTTCAAATGTCTCATCTAAAGAATTAAAAATATGTTTTGGACACGACATAGGTCCAAACAAATGAGCTCACTTTCCAGTTCAGTCATGTTTGCACATGTTTGCATGTGTAGCAAACTATGCAATTGTGTGGCGTCAGTAGTCTATAATATTGATTCATCCCCCAAAACACATGGGCCATACGACCAATCCGACCAATCCTTCCCAGCTCAAAACCCAGCGAAATAACCTGGATTCTCTAAGTCGAAACAACCTTCAACTACCATTCTATTCTGGCAATCTCTTGTAATTGACTACTGTTTGATGTTACTTCATCCTGTTCAAGCTATAATTTTCATGCTACCTGGCGATGTACCTCGACTCTTTCCACTCAAAATCTGCACTGGTCGGTTGCCGAGCCCGAGGTATTGTGGAAAATTCACGAGTCACCAGGGGTCCCTTTTGAGATCAAATCCGCCATGGGATATCTTGGAATTATACCCAATCAAAATCATTCATCATTCACTGCTACAGCAACCAGAGCTTTTAGATACAAGACTTGGAAACCAGGTCAGGATCATGAAATTTTGCATCCGGGCTTCACTACGTATAGATTCTGTGCAGCTCGGAATTTCCCGTTCTGGTTGGATTCACCAAACGCGATAGAAACTGCTCCAGAGCTCCATGTCAGGTGCAATCAACCCACAAAAACCAACTTGTGAATCCATGAAGTCACAGTTCATGGCTACCCTCTGGTAAACATTTACATCACTATGGAAAGATCCACCATTGTTCAGAGGGAAATCAACATAATCAACTATTTCTATGGCCATGGCTTCAATAGCAAACTGTTGACATAACCAGAGGGTGATGTCAAAAAGTATGGGCTCAACATGGATGGTCCATACCCTCAAATCATCCATGTTTATAGGATGTTCTGTCCTTTCTAAACCATCCATTTTGGGATATTTTGGGGTACCCCCATTGTCGGAAACCTCCATTTATATATATATATATATCCCAAGTTTGATACATCCAATGATTGATATGGCATGAGATGGCAATATTCCCGTGGCAGCTATGGCAACTTCGGCCTTTGACCAGGCTGACCAGGCCACATCTTCCGCATCGCCGTTGCCGCCATGGCCGTCGCCGCAAGGCACCCGAGAAAGCTGGTTCACCTGCCAGGGCGCCAGGGCTACCTGCCAGTTGCAGTGTGGTGAATTACCCAATGGATTGGTATATTTTATGGTTCTACAACAGGGACATACAGATATCAACCATTGATAACCATTGTTATCCATGAATGTAGATAAACTATCAATATTCAATGGATTGGTTTAAGGGAAACGCCACACAGGAAATGGAGATTCCATGGAAATGTGAGGAAATATGGGGGTTTGTGTAATTTTCCCTTAAACCAATCCATTGAGTAAGTCATCACTCTTTGCTGGTAAATATTAATATTATGTGACCAAGCAATTGGTCTAAATTCATCACCCTTATATCTTTGTGTGAGCAGCAGAATGTGTGAATAAGTTTTGGCTGGTCAGTATTGCCATAATATTTGCGGATCTGAATGAAAAGAAACCTTTGCAGACTTCACTCTTTGGTAGCAAAATCGAGGTTTTTTGTCAGTGAAATCTAAGGTTGCAGGCTAAATGCCCCTATTTGTTGGGACACATCCCCCAGCACTGTCTGTTGCGCGGTGACCGCATCTGGTTGCTGGTTTCAACCCATCCCAAATATGTTATCATGGGGGATCATCATTCCAAGTATTACAGTATGGTTTAAAATAAATAGGCATGCAAAAACCATCAAACACAATCAAAACCATCGACCAAATAATTCAAATATGTTCATGATCCCAGTCGCAGAGGTTCTGCATGTCAGACACAAAATTAGCCTACTTGCTTCACATGTTTTCACACCCAAACTTTGCTGTGTTCTATCTGGATGTAGCTGTCAACACCAGGTATTGTTGTCCACGCAATGATATTCCATCATCACAAATTTAAATTCACAATACCAAATTGTATGGTAAAACATGTCCCCACACACACAATATATATATATATAATATATATTAATATAGTATAGTTGCATTGAAATCTTGAAAAATAGGTACTACCCTTATGGACCTAGCTGCTGTTTGGGTGAATGTAAATAGTTATATGGCCACCCTTTCTTAATTGCTTTTCGTCTTGAAGCACGGGGGTCAATAAGTTCGAACCATACCACATATGGACAAAATGGCCCACACCATTTAACAACCTATCCCCATTTTGGAGCCTTCTCAGCAAACAAAGCACTGGCGTCAGGCGGCCTATATGATCAAAGAACCGAAGGACCGCAATGGTGAAGGAAAGTAAGGAGTCATGTTCAAGGCATACCATAGGGAACAACAAAATCATACAACATCTTTGGGTTAGAAAGTCTATAGGCTATAGTGTTATACAAATATGTGAGTACATTAATCATATATATAAATATAACTGGTACTCAATTACTCAGAATTAGGTCAAAGGCTTTGACACACAAAGTGATGGTGTTAACGGTGTCAACCAACGTACAGTATGCATGTCAGTGGGGTTCCAGGAAAGGAACGTACTGGATGTGTTCCTCTCATATCATGAGAGCACTCAACAGCAGCTGTTCCTTTCGGTGCGAGTACTACACCAGCACACACCGCTGGTTGATTATCATGTTCCAAACATGTCCTAACTGTTCCTCTCAAAATTGGGATATCCGTAAGATACAGTAAATTTTCATAAATCTCCCAGTTTTGGAGAAGCCCAAATGTAAACCCAGCCATTTTTTCCACTTGTGGCCATGGTTGAAGACCATATACAAACATGGGGTTTTCCTGCAGGAGTCTAGGTCTTATTCTGGGATTATCAAAGTATACCTCCCAAATAACCATTTATTTCGGGGAACATAATGATTCACCAGTGGATGGAGTGGGGTACCCTGTACCCTATTTTCAAACAAACCCATATCATATATGGTTCATTTATAGCCAAAAAACATCACCCACAAAACCATGTTTTTTTGGGAATTGGTAAATCTTCAAAGACCTTCATAGACCTTCCCTTTTTCATGCCCTGCCTGGCTGGCCGTGATGCAGTCAGCTCGCGCTGTAACTCCTACCAAGGGATGGAAGTGCAATGCCCACACATCACGATGATTTGGAGTGGTCGCGCGCTTATTTGGGTTGCAAGTGTTAAGAAACATGTGTTCACATGTTTTCGATATCTGAGCACCTTCGACGGTTGATGGTTAGATAAATCGCAGATTTGATAGATTTTCCACTTTCTTCTTCCAGTAGATCCTCACCAGTTCGCTCACCATGTTAAACATCATTGCATTCAAGTCACACATTTATGTGACCAGTGACTGGTTGACCCTTTTAAATTTTGGGTGACAATCTCCTTACTGGGAATCATGCATGTCCTGGATCCTTTCATTAACCCTCTGGTTCGCACACATACATGGCACTGGAAAATCATGTTTTTCTAATTTTTCTTGCTAAATAATTTACCCATTGGTCATGAACTTGTTCAAAACGTGTAAACAACTTCTAGAGTTATGGCCATTTATCAGTTATAAGTACTAACAAAACCCCATTTATAGAATGTATAATCCCATAGAAATAACCAGTTGTAACTGCTGAATGTCCATAACTGTAGAGACAACAATGGAAATTGGTTGGTTCAACACAATACCAACAACCACGAAACTCTGGAAGCCATTCAGAAGGAGAGCCCTTTTTTGGGTACCGGAATCCAGACACTGCTATAGCAGGGAACTGCCAAAAACGTAGAATTACCAGGTGGTAGATGATTTATCCCATTATAATCCTATTATAATCCGAGTGTTGCATAGTTATCATGAGTTACCCTCTGGTAATTTGACAAAAAACTATTGAAGCCATGGCCCAGTCGAAATAGTTGATTTACCCATTAAAAATGGTGGTTTTGGATAGTTATGTTAGTTTAACAGAGGGTACCACTAATTACCACCATCCACAGGTCAGTTTAATCTGGAAATCATCAGTGTTTCTGCCATTTTTCTCTGCTGCTGCCAGGCTCCGTCTGACAGCTAGCAAGGTAGCACCGACAAAAACACGGCAAACAAATGACAGTCACATCAGAAAGTCACTTTCACTGAGAAGTTTGTAAAATCATAAATCTAGGATTTTCCCATGATTTTCGCCATACAATTCCATCACACCATGGGTGTCCCATAGACTTCCCATCGAGTTCGATCTCCGTCGATCCTGAATTTCCTCTGCATGGTGGTGCAACATCTGAGCCACCTGCTGAGGATGGCCATGAGAAAACGTTTTGGCATGGGGATTATATATGGCATACACCAAAAAAGGGGATTATAGTTATATATATATATATATATATGAGGATTATCAATAACTATTGCACAAAAAATTGCTTTCTTAAAATGGGGGATCCCCAAAACCATAGGATACCATAGGTTTTCGTACTAAAACGGTTTAATTTGGGATGATTTGGGGGTACGCCGATTTTCGGAAACCTCTATATAACAACTACATATGGGGACTATATGGGAATATAACTAAAAAATGTATATCATAGTTATAGTTCGTAGTTGTAGTGATTAATTATAGTTGATTATAGTAATAAGTATTGTCATATCCCGATATACCATTGTGATATATATGTATGTATATTGGCAACAATTGCATCCCACATAGTTTGGATTGTATGGTGATAAATCTAACTATCTAAAGTATACGATAGTTATACTATACTGTAGTTGGGTTTCATCAACTATATTTATTCATTGGGAAAACTATTGCTGAATTATATAGCATAGTTCACTAACGTGAAAATTGCTAGCTGTGAAATAAGCCATTCGGGGATAATTCCTTTACCATCACCCAGATTGAAATGTATTGCAATCCACCATTCATATTAGTTTCACCCACCAGAAACCACCCCTTAATAGGGGAAACATGTCCAAATATGTGGAACCATTTATATAGAGCGTTTCTAATAGGAAATTGAATGGGGGATGGGATGATATTGCCATACTTGTATGGGTTTGTTTTTTTTTACCATGCCCAAATCCGGAAGTAGTAGGGGGGGTATGATTCGGGGGTATGATTCGAGGTGCCTCTACTTCTGATCCTTTTAATTTTGAACCCCCTAAAAAAATACATAGCCATATGTGTGTGTGTATGTGACGTGTTTTAAGTAGATCTCAATGTCTTTTGAGGTTGTTCATGCTTCGCTGGCATGTGTACTGTAGACAACCTCCTAAAAAAAAATTAGCCCTTCCCACCTGGAAAACATGTTCGCTGAAAACCCTAGGCTTGCCCGCAGCGAATCCTGCAATGCTCAAATCCCTGCGTAGGGTTTAAGTTTTTTACCTGCCAAAACAACCAGCCCTAAAACCATAAAACCCTAAATTAAGACCCTAAATCCTGAAAACTTAAAGTCAAAATCACTGCGTATAGCCAGTGCTTTCATTCATCCTCTGATGATAAGTATATATATATATAGTTTGGATGTGTTGTTTGAGTGTGGGCGAACCCAGGGTTTGGAGAGAACATGTTTCAAATATGTTTCCTCTCCAACCTGTCACTCCCAACGCACTGAAATTTTGGACACTACTCAATGTGTTGCTGTGTCTGCTTATTGCCAGACACCTGTGCTGATATTGAAAACAACATCCAAACCTACTTAAACATATGGCGTGGATTTTCCGGAATTTGTGGCGAATTGGTTTGAGCTCGCTATGTAAAGTACTGTATACAAACCAGTGTATGAATTCTGATGGCCTGCTTTCAAGCTGGGTTCCACAATAAAAATCAACTCCAATTGGCAAAACCCCAGTTGCAGACCAATATTCAATATTGCTGGGCGTGTTGCCATGGCCCGTAAATCATAAATTTTGTTCGCTACATCCCCCATGTTTGACTGGTTGGTGGTATACCTACCCCTCCGAAAAAAATATGAGTTCGTCAGTTGGGATTATTCTTCCCAATATATGGAAAAATAAAATTCATGTTCCAAACCACCAACCAGTTGATATCCGTAAACACATTAATGATGTTCCGATTGGGATTTTCCATGACACTCTCTCATTGCCATGTGCGAGTTTTGTCATCCCATCGCCGTTTTCAGAAGTGAAGACGATACATAAACCAAACAACCGATTGGTGATACGAGTCTCAAAAACATAAATATGGTTTCGGTATGTTTGGTTAACAAGGCCAACACATTGACTTTGTGAAATACATATTCAACCAATTATTGAAAAACATGTTTTATAATATGCTTTACAGCAACAGTACCAAAGTCAACAATCGCCAGCTGTGGCGCATTAAACCAAAACACATGTCTTCATTCGTCGAATATCATCACATGTTCTTTTTTGGATCTTGATGATGTAAAATAGAAAATTATGTGTTTCATATACGATCTGGTTATTTAACATAGCCATGGAAAATCACCATTTTTAATAGGTAAACCATCTATAAATGGTCCATTTTCCATGGCTATGTTAAATAACCAGAGGGTAGATTCTATAGATCTTAAAATATCAGTTCTGAGTCATGTCATCCCATTTTTACGAACATCTCCCGTTGAAAAAAGCGCTGGCGCCAGGAGCGGTGCCGGTTGGCACCTGCTGCTCCCGGCGCTCCAAGGTCTGGGACAACTTGGCCACGCCCAAAGCCAGGACGTCCGAATCCACCTGGGGAAGGCAGAGATTGGTGGATCTATGGAGATCCAAATATGGTGTATATATGATATAGATATATGATGTATTATGATATATATTATGGTGTATATCATGGGATACACCATATTGATGGGATATATATATATATATGGTATATATGATAGGAATATCATATGATGGAACTGGTTTGGAATATCACTTATCAAAGGAAGTTGGGAAGCAATACTTCCGAGTTACGAATGACTTTTACTTGGTGCAATTGACTATGATGAAGGGTGGTAGATCATGTAACAATACATAATGTACCAATACATCACAAAAGAATAAGAAGCAATGAAATTGACCTTGAGGAAGGGTGGTAGATCATATAACTATAGCAATACATAATGTACCAATACATCACAAAGGAATAAGAAGCAATGAAATTGACCTTGAGGAAGGGTGGTAGATCATATAACTATAGCAATACATAATGTACCAATACATCACAAAGGAATAAGAAGCAATGAAATTGACCTTGAGGAAGGGTGGTAGATCATATAACAATACAGAATATAACAATACATAATGTACCAATACATAACAAAAGAATAAGAAGCTATGAAATTGACCTTGAGGAAGGGTGGTAGATCATATAACAATACATAATATAACAATACATAATCTAATCAAAGGAAGTTGGGAAGCAATACTTCCGAGTTACGGAAGTGGCGACGAAGGGAAGTGGTGATGAAGGGGAGTGGTGAGGAAGGAAAGTGGTGATGGCGGGAAGTGGCGACGATGGGAAGTGCTGAGGAAGGGAAGTGGTGAGGAAGGGAAGTGGTGACGAAGGGAAGTGTTGATGAAGGGGAGTGGTGAGGAAGGGAAGTGGTGACGATGGGAAGTGGTGAGGAAGGGAAGTGGTGGCGATGGGAAGTGATGAGGAAGGGAAGTGAGAAGCGATGGAATTGCTGACGATGGGAAGTGATGAGGAAGGGAAGTGGTGACGATGGGAAGTGGTGAGGAAGGGAAGTGGTGACGATGGGAAGTGGTGAGGAAGGGAAGTGGTGACGATGGGAAGTGGTGAGGAATGGCAGATCGCATTGGAATGGCTGCATGAATGTTGCATGGGCTTTGTTGTGGGGAGGAAGCCGGAGCACGAAACCGTGCGTTTTTCCGTGTAAAGTGGCTGCAGGCGACGATGAAAGGTACCTCGTCTGTGCGACGGGTGCGGCTGCGGTCGTTTTGTGCGCGAATTGTTCCTCCTATGTGTTTTGCAACGAGTGGTTGTGTCTGTGTGCGTAGTTCTATGCGGTTCTTGAATCTCTGGTTGCAGATTGCATTGTAATGGCTGCATGAATGTTGCATGGGCTATGTTTTGGGGAGGAAGCCGGAGCACGAAACCTTGTGTTTTTCCGTGTAAAGTGGCTGCAGGCGACGATGAAAGGTACCTCGTCTGTGCGGCGGTCGCGGCTGCGGTCGTTCCGGACGCGATTGGGTTCTTCTATGTGTTTTGCAACAAGTGGTTGTTCCTGTGTGCGTAGTTCTATGCGTTTCCTGAAGCTGTGGTTGCAGATCGCATTGGAATGGCTGCATGAATGTTGCATGGGCTATGTTTTGGGGAGGAAGCCGGAGCACGAAACCTTGCGTTTTTCCGTGTAAAGTGGCTGCAGGCGACGATGAAAGGTACCTCGTCTGTGCGGCGGGTGCGGCTGCGGTCGGTTTATCGTTTTTTTTTTGCCGCAGTGTAACGGTGGCTTCAAGCTGCTTTGGGTGTGCTTGTGTGTGCGTAGTTATAGGGTGTTTTGGAATCTGTGCTTGCAGATCGCATTGGAATGGCTGCATGATGTTGCAAGGGCTCTGTTGTGGGGAGGAAGCCGGAGCACGAAACCTTGTGTTTTTCCGTGTAAAGTGGCTGCAGCCGACGATGAAAGGTACCTCGTCTGTGCGACGGGTGCGGCTGGGGTCGTTTTGCGCGCGAATTGTTCCTCCTATGTGTTTTGCAACGAGTGGTTGTGTCTGTGTGCGTAGTTCTATTCGGTTCTTGAAGCTGTGGTTGCAGATTGCATTGCAATGGCTGCATGAATGTTGCATGGGCTATGTTTTGGGGAGGAAGCCGGAGCACGAAACCGTGCGTTTTTCCGTGTAAAGTGGCTGCAGCCGGCGATGAAAGCTACTTCGTCTGTGCGACGGTTGCGGCTGGGGTCGCTTGGTTCCTTCTATGTGTTTTGCACCAATGTTTGTTCCTGTGTGCGTAGTTCTATGCGTTTCTTGACGCTGTGGTGCCAGATCGCATTGGAATGGCTGCATGATGTTGCATGCCGTGTGTTGTGGGGAGGAAGCCGGAGCACGAAACCTTGCGTTTTTCTGTGTAAAGTGGCTGCAGCCGGCGATGAAAGCTACCTCGTCTGTGCGGCGGTTGCGGCTGGGGTCGTTTGGTTCCTTCTATGTGTTTTGCAACAATGCTTGTTCCTGTGTGCGTAGTTCTATGCGTTTCTTAACGCTGTGGTGCCAGATCGCATTGGAATGGCTGCATGATGTTGCATGGGCTTTGTGTTGGGGAGGAAGCTGGAGCACGAAACCGTGTGTTTTTCCGTGTAAAGTGGCTGCAGCCGGCGATGAAAGCTACCTCGTCTGTGCGGCGGTTGCGGCTGGGGTCGTTTGGTTCCTTCTATGTGTTTTGCATCAATGCTTGTTCCTGTGTGCGTAGTTCTATGCGTTTCTTGACGCTGTGGTGCCAGATCGCATTGGAATGGCTGCATGATGTTGCATGGGCTTTGTGTTGGGGAGGAAGCCGGAGCACGAAACCGTGTGTTTTTCCGTGTAAAGTGGCTGCAGCCGGCGATGAAAGCTACCATTCTATGTGTTTTGCAACAATGCTTGTTCCTGTGTGCGTAGTTCTATGCGTTTCTTGAAGCTGTGGTGCCAGATCGCATTGGAATGGCTGCATGATGTTGCATGGGCTTTGTGTTGGGGAGGAAGCCGGAGCACGAAACCTTGTGTTTTTCTGTGTAAAGTGGCTGCAGCCGGCGATGAAAGCTACCTCGTCTGTGCGGCGGTTGCGGCTGGGGTCGTTTGGTTCCTTCTATGTGTTTTGCAACAATGATCGCATTGTAGTGGCTGCATGAATGTTGCTTGGTGCTGCGCAATACGATTGTCTTCTGCAGCTAGATGCCGTAAATCGTATTGGAGTGGCTGCATCCAGGCTGCGATAGTGATTTGTTAGCAATTTTCGCAATTTTGGCGCTCTTAATTTTCCGTTCCAAAATCCTTTTAAAAAGTGCTTCAAAATCGTCTTTTTTCTGCTTTGGCGTCGAGATCCGGTTTTGGAGCTGCTATTGCCGACGCTGTTGCGTGTAGTTCTATTGTGTTTTGCAGCTCAGTCTCTGCAGATCGCACTGTAATGGCTGCATCAAGGTTGCTTGGTGCCGCGGCTGCCTACGGAATACTATTGTCTTTTGCATCTGAAGATCGTAAATCGTATTGGAGTGGCTGCATCCAGGCTGCGACAGTGATTTGTCAGCAGATTTTCACATTTTTGGTCCTTTTAATTTTCCTTTTAAACCTCTTTTTAAAAAGTGCTTCAAGATCGTCTTTTTTTCGCTTTGGCGTCGAGATCCGGTTTTGAAGCTGCAGTTTCCGACGTCGTTGCGCATAGTTCTATTGTGTTTTGCAACTCAGTCTCTGCAGATCGCACTGTAATGGCTGCATCAAGGTTGCTTGGTGCCGCGGCTGCCTACGGAATACTATTGTCATTTGCATCTGAAGATCGTAAATCGTATTGGAGTGGCTGCATCCAGGCTGCGACAGTGATTTGTCAGCAAATTTTCGCAATTTTCACAGTAGTCATTTTCCTTTTAAAAATCCTTTTAAAAAGCGCTTCAAAATCGTCTTTTTCTGCTTTGGCGTCGAGATCCGGTTTTGGAGGTGCAATTTCCGATACTGTTGCGCGTAGTTCTATTGTGTTTTGCAACTCAGTGTCTGCAGATCGCATTGTAGTGGCTGCGTCAAGGTTGCTCGGTGCCGCGGCTGCATGCGTAATACTATTGTCTTTTGCTGCTTAGATGAGATGAGAAAAGATGAGATGAGATGAAGTGTGGAGTGTGAAGAGTGCAGTGTCAAGTGTGGGGCGTGAAGAGTGCAGTGCGGAGTGCGAAGTGTGAAGTGTGGAGTGTAAGGAAAGCAGTGAGAAGTGAGAAGTGTGGAGTGCGAAGAGTGCAGTGTGCAGTGTGAAGTGTGGAGTGTGAAGCGTGAAGTGTGGAGTGTGGAGAGTGCAGTGTGAAGCGTGAAGTGTGGAGTGTGAAGAGTGCAGTGGGAAGTGTGAAGTGCGAAGTGGAGCTTCACATGTGACATGTGAAACAGGACACAACTTTCGCAGAGTGCACGCACGCACGGGCTTCGCTGGCGCACGGCGCATGCAAGTTCTATAGATGAGAAAGTTCTTATATATCCCTAAGGCAACTTCCGCCCCGCCTCGTGCGGGTACTACTGGTAGATACTTATAATAACAATTATGGGAATATCATGGGAATATCATATGATGGAAATATATACTATGGGTATATATGGGAATATACCAGCTAGAATAACATATCCCAACTAATGCAACTTATAACAATACATTGGAAATGTGTATGAGAATATTAGAATATGTTTTGATATTTATATTATATATAACAATATAACAATTGATGATGATAAAGTTGGGATACTTTATGGGAATATCACGGCCTTATCACGGGATTGTTTTCATATCCCATAGAACGATATCCAGGGGATATGGATGGATTTAGTTGGGGAATGTTGGAGATACTTTATGCGAAACAGCATTTTGAAAGGTACAAACGGAGGGTATTTCCGCAAGTTGGAATTAGTTGCGGATGTCATGGGAATATGTTGTGGGAATATAATTTTCAACAGTTTGCCAAGTAACAATAGAAATTGGATCCTTGGATCTAAAAAACTTCGTAGTTGGAATATATTATTCTAGAAGTTCTAGTTGGTACTAGTAGTTGTTGGATCTATATGAACAGTATTGAATATGTGTCCGAAAATATGGTGCCCCAAAAATTGATGGTTTAGCACGCAATGTGGTAGAATGATGTAGAATGGACATGTAGGGGGTAGCTGCGTATTTCAAAAATCAAGGTACCCCTCTTAACCATTGGCTTTTCAAAAAAAAGACCACTAACACTAACACTGACAAGAATTTGGAAAAAAAATCACCTAAGAATTGGCGGTCCATGCACCAAGAAAGTGGAAATTGCCTAACAAACAAATACGTATGTCTTTCGAGAAGAAACAGCATAGAAGTGGAACCACCAAATGTGGGAGGGTTGGGTTCCAAACCTAGGAGGTTAAATGAGTTTAAACAACAGACATTGGCAAGCATGGAACCCTCAGCCATCAGCAACTACTTGATGGCTCATCCCACCAATACCTTCATCGTCAATCCACTCAGGTAACTGGGGAGAACTAATCTACTTCGTCGAATGAACCTCTAAGTATGGAACCTAGACCCTCGCCCCCACAAACAAAGGGCAACCATACAATCTTATACAAATTATGGATGGTAAAATTTGAATCCAATTTTGATGAAAATGTGGCGATTTGGAGGTTCCAAGGGGATCCCCCGGGGCCAAGGTGTCACGTGCACGTGCAGCTTGGTCACCGACCGCTCGACGGGACTCGTCCACGTCCGCGCCAGCGGCTCCGTGGACGACGCAGGCGACGCCGCGGTGCGCTGGGCGTCGGCTTTCTGACGCCGCTCGAACTGCTTGCGGAGATCGTCCCCTGCGACAGCCGGTCCCGGTAGGTCTGGGGGGTTCACCAGAAAAACTTGGGATGACCTCAGTGGACTGATGAGACTTAAATGAGGTATAAATGCTATGTTTGAAGGGTAAATTTAGGGTCTGGGATGATCCACTCTAGGTAAGTAGCTGGGGTATGTCAAGGATGTTTCCCAGTTGAAAAAGTTATGTAGATATATATCTCGTATATTATGTAATGTATATATATATAAAGATACATGAGTGGGTATTACCGGATACGTGCACGGGACTTGCCAAAGTCCCTCAGCATGATCGCAGGGGCGGCCAAAATAGCCGAAACAGCATCGTCATCAAATCACCCTACTCCAAGCTCAAAACACCAATATGGGACACTTAGACTTCTGTCTCCCTACCAAGGGGACCTCATATGGTTTGTCCGAAAATAGGGCAAGCAAAGATATCCTGGTTTAGCAAGTGCTTTCCCACTATTCAATACTCAATGGCCATATTTGGGGCAAATTCCCCATTTTGTAGGACATTATCCTGATTGATTTGATGACACCTTATCCTGATTGATTAAAATCCACTTGTTGCTGGTGAAATCACCATTCCTGGACAAACATCCAAGAAGATATTTAATACATATGTCAGCTTTCCCGCTTTATATAGCCATAAATCTCCGTCTTTTCAACCATCCCCATATGATCAAAACACTCCTTGTGCGGCTGAGTCTCCCATGTACCTGGCATCGAAGAGCCAAAGTCTTGGCGACTCATCTCCTCCACCCGAGGTCGCAAGCAGTTGGTGAACTAGGTGAACTAAACCTCCATAAGTTGGGACTGAAACCCCTATACATATGGTCATTTGGTTGACATCACAATGTAAGGCCCCAGTTATAAGTTGGCTTCTAACCCCATGAACTATATAGTTGGAGCACGGCCTGTATCTGGCCGTGTGTTTTCGTGCACATTGGGGGGGTGGGGTGGGGTGGGGTGGGGTGGGGTGGGGCATGTGTTAACGTTCATGTGAACTTGCTAGGTAAGTGGACTCGTCTCTGTGTGTGCCGTTATGTGCGTGTAGACATTGGGTGGGGTGGGGTGGGGTGGGGCATGTGTTAACGTTCATGTGAACTTGCTAGGTAAGTGGACTCGTCTCTGTGTGTGCCGTTATGTGCGTGTAGACATGGGTGGGGTGGGGTGGGGCATGTGTTAACGTTCATGTGAACTTGCTAGGTAAGTGGACTCGTCTCTGTGTGTGCCGTTATGTGCGTGTAGACATGGGTGGGGTGGGGTGGGGTGGGGCATGTGTTAACGTTCATGTGAACTTGCTAGGTAAGTGGACTCGTCTCTGTGTGTGCCGTTATGTGCGTGTAGACATGGGTGGGGTGGGGTGGGGTGGGGTGGGTGGGGCATGTGGTAACGTTCATGTGAACTTGCTAGGTAAGTTTTCGGTTGCTTTTAGCTGATACGTCATGCTACGCTCGCGTAAGTGCGATCAGTTTCTTTGGTTTCAACATCATTTACTTGTATGAATGCCTGTCTTTGGTTATAGTTAGCTGTTCGATGCAAGTGAAGGTCCGTTGCAAGGTCGTCTGGCAGGTTCTGCCAGATTCATCAATACATAACATGTTGAAATCCAGGTCGGTTGCAAGGTCGTCTGGCAGGCTGTGCCAACTTCATCAATACATAACATGTGGAGTTACAAAAAAAAGCGTTTTCGCCTAGGCGAAATACTTGTTTTTTCATTTCATGCACCAGAATAAGGGGCTTTCTTGTCTTTGAACTCACATCAAAACAATACAGGTCGAATTAGTTGGGGAGTTCTGAGAAACATCAAAAATGATAGTTTCGCCTAGGCGAAACGCTAGATTTTGATTTTATGCACCAGAATCAGGGGTTTTTCGCCTTTGAAATCACATCAGCCAAAATCCTATTGGCACGACCACATCAAACATCATCCATGACACCCCGTTGATCACAAAAACACCACGGCCAGATAAAGGCCGTGTTCCTAGTTACAACCCTCATATCTCCAAACATTCGGGTACCCTCAGATAATCAAACATGGCTGGCCTGAAAAATCCACCATGTTTGTCGACATTTGATTGCCTAGGTTAGCTTGGGTTTATTTCATGGATATATCACGACAGTTGGATGGGTGAAAAGATCCAAACACTGCGAATAATTATATATAGCAATAAAAACACTCTGTGAACAACAATAAGAATGATAATAAATATAGTCATTGCTGTAAATCCCAAAACATGAGGATTGACAATCAAACATCGGCCTTTCTGCTGCCAAACATCATTGTGTGATCATAAAATCACCAAAGAAATTTAAGAGCAATCCAGCACCAAGAACAGAATCATTATTTTGCACTAAATATTAAAACAGGATCACATGATCATAATCCCCACATTCCACGTCTGCCTGTGCGTGAAACCAAACTTTTTCAAAGGTATAGGCGGAGGGTCGAGGTACACCACATAATTCGGTGGGATCACCCCCCTTTGTTAAGACCTTTATTTCCCTGAATATATATACACATATATATATATGTGTGTATTTAGAAAAATATGTATTTAGTAAATATGCTGGTGTTGACTGGTGTTGCTTCTATCATCGTTTTTGTTGCTTAATACACCATGTTATTTTGCGAAATCCGAACATGTCTCCTGGGCTACAAAAGAAACAAACTAAGCATGCAGCATGTTTGGATGACTATTCTAGAACTATTCTTGACTAATCCAGCATATTCCCTACTAATTCACATTTTTGGGAATCAATTCCAACAGAGCGATGAAAAAAAAACTATCCCATACATCATGCTCCCAAAGAAATTACCAGTAGGTAGTATAACATAGTACAACCCCTATAATCACAAATCAAGATCGATATCTTAAATGGCTCGGAATAAAACAAAAGTACTAATCTATCATGTGGTTGGGAAACTCAATTCGTAGCGCCAACTGGATCCCCATTGTTTTTTTGTAGGGAACATGAATACAACTATAGTTCCTTAGCTCGCTCGCTCACTTCCGACCCCTGGTTGGCATTGATATTCCAATTGTGTGTATATATGTATATCTATATTACATACATACATATGTACATATACATACCCATTTTCCCATCATATCCCCATCACATCCCCTATTTTCCCATGGTATTCGCAACTTTCCACCAAGCACCAGCAGCCACAGTGGCCCGCCTGACAGCACCCGCTGGAAATCTTGGCTGCTCAAAGGACCTTGCAGATCACCTGGAAGGTGCGATAAACACGTGCCAAGTGCGGGGAGATTGGATGACATACCCTCTGGTAAACTAACATAGCTATTGAAAATGGCCATTTATAGTGGATTTACCTATTAAGGATTGTGATTTTCCATAGCTATGTTAGTTTACCAGAGGGTAGGTGCAGAACTACGGTTTCACTCTAACTTTGCATAGAAATTGGCACTTCATCCCATATGTTTAGGTGATTTTATTGATTTCTTGGGGGTAATGAAGGTCTAGCTATGTAGAACTAAGAACTACCAATAGCTGCAGTAAATAAGAAAAGGGTGCATAAATCATGATGATGGTCGGTGGATGAAAGCACTTTATATATACATATATATATGTTTATATATATATATACATACACAATATCTATAATAATATATACCTATATATGCAATTATATGCATGATTATGCATTTAGTTATCTATTGTGTGTATATATATATGATCTAAATCATAACCGTAGAAACGATGAAACAATGGCAACACATGGGAAACAAAAAGCAACAACGGCACCCGGGACGATCAAATCACGACTTCATCAGTTCATCCAATCGGCCCAGGCACAACTGCAGCCAGGTGACACAGAACTTGAAACTGTACTGGGACCTTAAAATGCTGTTCGATATTCTGGGCCAGAAAGTCTGGAAGACGTGAGCTCCTCGAGCGGATCGGAGTTTTCCCAGAACGACAAAAATTCAGTGGGCTCCAAGGAATGGTCCAGCTTTGTAGGTAAGCATAGCACAGATGGAGCATTTTGCTCATGTACAGTACATATATATATAAATATATATATATACGTATGTATATATATATACATACATATTATATATGAATGTCTGATTGTCTGTATGCGTAATATATTAGATTCTGATACATTGTTAAGATGTGATTATTAGCAGTGTCTTATCCTATACACCTAGCTTGCGTTTATGCGGCTTCTATACTGTATATGTTGAAAGATGTTGGTGAAACTGTTTCAAATGTTGAACAATGCGGAAACCATTGCTTGGCTAGGGCCTGGGGCTTGTAGAGCATATTCGATCCCCACTTGAGATTTCAGACTTGTCCAGATCCAGTGATCCAGTATGCTTCGATCACTTGCTTCCAACCACTAAAGAAAAGGGAATTCGGCACTTCCATCAGTGTTCCTATCAGAGACTATAAATTCCAATGATCAAGTAATCTCAAGAGAATTTTCGCCGAGGGATGTGCAAAGAGATTCCATTTCATGCTGTGACAGTCTGGGTGCAAATCATGGCAACCACCGTTTTTCAACTGGCCTTAGAATCCAAGCATTCCATAATATCCACCAGGGTGTTGTTTGGCGTTATTTGTGGCGCTCCAGCAATTATATGATTGGTGCATAAATGTTTGACCAAATCTTTGGCTATCTAATTGCTAGTGCACTCTATGGATGTAATCGTCCCAAAAAGTGGTGGTTGAAGACCTCATGGTGGGAGAATCATATGCTGTCCTGTCTTTCAGAAGCTTTTTTTTAATACGATCCAAGGAAACAAATCACCGGTAGTTTTTCGTCTTATCAACAAATTGAAACACACATATACAGTATATATTACATTATATTGATATTGCATCATGTTATGTTATATTATGTTATGTTTGTTATATTATGTTAGGTTTTATTTTGTTGTATTATATTATTTTATTTTATTGTAAATTATAGTGTATATTATATTATATTATGTTAACATATCCATCCATCCATCCATCCATCCATCCATCCATCCCTCCGTCCGTCCGTCCAACCATACATCCATCCACCCACCCACCCAGCCAGCCATCCATCCATCCATCCGTCCGTCCATGCATCCATCCATCCATCCATCCATCCGTCCGTCCAACCATCCATCCATCCATCCACCCACCCACCCAGCCAGCCATCCATCCATCCATCCGTCCGTCCGTCCATGCATCCATCCATCCATCCATCCATCCATCTCGAGAACACCTGAAACTTCCCGCTTCTTTCCTCATGGGCTTTACCTTCCACCCACCGGTGTCCCGTGGACTTTCAACATCTCGTCGGTGTCAAACCACCGAAAAGAATTGCCGCCATAATCCAATCCTGGGCCGCGTAGCCGAACCAAGACTTGGCTGGAAGTACCCTATGGAAAATCAGCTATGGAAAATCACCATGTTTACTGGGTAAATCACCTAATTATCGGAAATCACCAGTTTTAATGAGTAAACGTTTACATAATTATGGAAAATCACCATTTTGAATTGGTAAATCAACTATAAATGGGCCATTTTCCAACGCTATTTTGACATAACCAGAGGGTATCCTCCGTTCACCAAACGTAGCTGGAAAATCCCGCGAAGGAGATGATGAAATGGAGGTTTTCATGTAAACAAATGTGTTGTGGAAACTTATGGGAATATGATGGGTATATCATGGGGATACAATATAATATAATAACAAAAACATATTAATAATAAAAACAAAGAAAAATAACAACAATAATAATATATGACTCCGTTTGTACCTATCACCATTGGCATTTTAGCCCATAATTTCTAGTACTTGTACACTTTTTCTTGGGTTCATGAAAGACTAGATATATACATATTAACATAAATATTGTATTAATCATGAAATTTTAACATGCATTATCTTGTAAATATAAATATATACTTATACTCAATGACTAGCCTTAAAATCAGGCTTGTGCCCGTCAGCAGCTTCCACTAGCGCTCGGGCCATTGTCTTCCCAAACACGGAAAGAATTGAGGTGTTAAATTCATGATTACAGTACCCAGTAATTCAATTCTGAAGCAATTGAAACAATACAACACATAAAAGACATTCATTTCAATTTTATCTTAAAGCCTTAAAGCCCTTTTTGCCAACATCACAATACAAAACATCAAAACATATACTGAAATTCAGAAATTCCGAGCATCTCAATTCTCGTGGCATTTTGCCCCAATAAAATCACCAGGGCATTGATCGTGTCGATGTTGCCGCGCCACGCAGGCAGCAGGCGAGGTTTTTGTGAATCATTGGCTGAAAAGAGAGGGCTCTTGTTGAGCGCCCACAGCTGCGAAGGTAGCAACTTGCATTGGTGATTTATAGGATTTGATGGGAGATTTGCACCGTTTTACTTGGGAAAATATGGGGATTTAACCAACCATCTGGTGGTATAATGGCGATACAGTGGAATGTTGATGGGATGATATTGGTTAATATATGGTGTCATCAAAAGTGGCTGGAACATCCCCGAATTACGAATTGGAGACTTCGTTTGCTAAAAACATCGTCCATCGAAATGGGGGAACTCTCCAGCAAAACCATAGAAATAATTTCCGGCGGATTTCTAGGTGGAAGTTCTGATGAATCACTTTCAGGGCTCCTCCAAATCCCTTCCACCACTGGATTCGGATAGGAACACCAGGATTTCTCGTAAGATTTGTCAGTCCGAATTTGCCTGGTGCATCCTGCTGTACCAACCGTTGTTTCCTATTTCAAGTGTCAAAAGACGCAATGGTTCCAAAAGACACTTTGAGTGTTTGTCTGAGCGGGTACTCAATTCCATCCAATGGTTTATCATAATTATCCCTGTCAACTAGCCTTATTGGGGCCATCCACATCATCAGTTGTTACCTCGGATGACGCCCAGCACAGTCTTAGCGAAAATAACCATGGTTCAGCTGCTACAAATTGGGGCATACATGATAGGTTATAGTAGCCCCCACAAAGGTAGACTAGTGATATATAGTAATATTGATAGTTATTTCCTGCTAAAACGTGCGGTGAACATATCTTTTGGAGGAAACATTATCGTAAATTTCAACTAATTGATATTCTAGATATATTTCATTCTGATTTTCTTTCTCTATCTTTTTGGGTTTGTTTTAACCATCATCTGACGGACCTCACTCAACGCACATAAAGAGTTCAATATCTCATTCCAGCTGCTGAGTGGGGAACAAAAAAACACTTTATTATTGCATATTTCATTCCAGTAACCAGTCATGTCACCAGTTTGATTGGTCGTTACTATGGTCATATCCCTTCTACAATTAGATAAATTCATTTATATATAGTATATATAATATATACATATTTTTTTATTGAATATATATATAGAATATACAGTATATATATAATATACATGTATATATATATATATATCTATATCTATTTATATTCATGTATTGCCAGTTGCGTTCCACGTATTTGGAAATACATTTGAAGAACTCCAACTTCCATTTCAGACACACACACACATGATATTATATATATATATAATTAATGTGGTTAAAACGACAATAAACTACCCATTTGGGAATGGTTTGAATCCCAATGTATGGTGTTTTGCGGGATGGTTTATGACATTGTTTTAAACATTAATTCGTTCCACCTATCCTCGTGGGACCCAGTCCCCAGCGCACCATGATGGAGATTGGCCGTAAACCATTCTGCCAAATGAAGAATGCAAGACCTGACACGTCCAACACTTCCAACCAACCAACTGGCCGCACGGAGATGAGATTCATGTGACATTCCATGAAGATCATATCAAATCCCATGAAACATCCATTAAAAATCCATCACACGACATGATGTCATGGTGATAAACTGAGATGTTTAATGAGATTTTATGTGATCTTAATGGAAATGTCATGGGGTGTGGGGAACATTCGTGGAATATTAAGAGGTGAATTTACCCTTGGGAAAATCATGGGACAATGATGGGAAAATGAGGGTAGGATGGGGATTTGTTAATGGAATATTTTTTACTGGGAATATGAGTGGGAATATCATGAGAATCATGACCTTTATGTGTTTCTAATGTGCTTTGCTGATGATGATGATGATGATGATGATGGAATATTTAATATTGAACGATACTAGTACCCTTTGGTCATTAGAAACAAATATTGAATATAGAACAATAAGCACGTTTTAATGTGAATAACATCTATCTATCTAAAACATATATACACATATTCGTATATAATATATATATATATAAATATCTATCTATCTATCTATCTATCTATCTATCTATCTATCTATCTATTCACGTAATCAATATATATATATATACATATATATATATAGAGATATAATACACATAATTACATAATTATTATTGTACTGCAATTATTATTATTAATATACGGTAACTAAATTTAAATATACGGGCTATATACGGACTTTCAATATATACGAACAGGCATGTTAGACTACCTCCGGGAAGGTTTTTGGCCCGCCCGGTCATTTAAACATACGGAATCCAATTCATTTAAACTTTACGGGAACTACATTTAAATATAAGAACTGGTATTTCATACTACCTCCGGGGCCTCGTGGTCTGGCCCGCCCTCCACATATTTAAATGTCGTTACCGTATATATATATATAGGGGACATTTTCCCATGGCTGTATGTGAAATTACCGGAAGGCAAGCACCATGGTGAGGAGTGTCACTACAAAATGACCCACCAAAAAAAGTGTTTTCTGTGGGTCTTACCCAGCAAACTAACATGAGATATAATGAAACACCAACCATGTGTGAATTATACTCCTTAGATTTCATAGCTGTTTTTCACAGCCATACTGGAGGGGAATTCAACATTACATATCCACGTTAGGAGAACCGCTTGTAACGTCTCCAAGTGCCCGACAGAATTCATCTCGGTCGATAGAGCCGCTTCCAACCCCTTAGCACATCATGTGTGCACTAACATGAACTAACATATTTTTTCATATGCCAAATTCAATACAATGAAATTTTGATTGGTTGCTATTGTTGACTTGGTACAGACTTAGTATATTTGTCTTCGATAGGGTACGGTTGATGGGTTCACTGCACTGGATGTTCAGATTTGACCCTTCCCGAGTTGGTGTCACAGGACAAGTCCGTGGAAAGAGGTGGCAGTAATCAAAATGATTCTAGTAATCAATGATTTAATCAATGGTTCTACAGTAATCTACACTACAGTGAAATCAGATGTAATCAGCGATTAGTAGTTAATCAGTAATCCGTGATTATATAGATCAACGATCTCAAAGTGACTAAGTGACTATAGCATTGATTATAGTATCATTATTATATATAGTAAAATTCAATTGCTGATGTTGGAAGCTTTTGACCTTGCACTGCTGGGATCATCGTAACATCATGTCGGCACTACATCGGGGTGGCTTAAGGCTAGGACCTCCCACCCTGGTCCAGTAGCTAAAAGATATGGTGCTGACCCTGAAATTGAATGGTAAACTCCGCACTAACAATGACTTGTGAAATGGATCCATTGATATCATTGATACCCGATCCTTAAGCCACTCAGAGAGCACACCAATTGATTATGTGCAACCATCTACAACTTATACCCTATAGTAGAGTACCACACAAGAATCACAAAGTCAATCACTGCAATCACATTTATACAGTATATAGAACATTTACATGTGGAACAATAATAATAATATATTATTTATATATATATATATCTTATCATATCTTGAACCATATATGTATATATTATCTTGATAGAGTAACGAACTGATCTTGTAGCCACAATCAAACACCATCCGCCTTGGCCATGGTCTCGAAGATCTTCTCGCAATTTTTGATGATCCTGGCAGCCAGAAATTCCGTCACCATACCGAAACCTGGGGAGACTCCATGGCCATTCTTGGATGATCAGTTGATGATACGCAACTTAATGTTGATTTCCGAACACTTACCCAACTTACCCAATTTTGAGGCCCACTCTTTGTTTGTCGTTCCAAGTGTTGGTCCAATCCCCGTGTTGGTCAATGTAGCGAGTGGCATCGCCGGCGCCTCTGTCGCTTCTCTTCCGCTTCGGCTCGTTCCTGTTCTTGTCGAACATACTCCCCTGGGGGCATAGCCGGGAGAGAAGATGTTGTTTTCTGTGATTTACCGAGCAAAAAAACATATAATACCATTTAATAGCAATTGTCCAAAATATATATATCACAAAAAATACACATAGACAAACAACCAAAGAACCAGGTACAGTATGAAGTCGTCTATCATCGCTTCACAGACCGAAGAACCGGGTCTTGATTTTTTTCAGGGGTGATGACAGTGAAGGATAGTGAAGGTACCATGACTGCGACAAACATACCCAAGTTTTGTCACCTGGATGGTGGTTGAGCCACCCCTTGAACAAAAAGGCAAAAATCAGTGGGGATCGGCATAAGTGCAGAAAATAGCTACGGGTACAAGAACAAAGTCCTCAATTCAGTCCTGATATCCTAACTTATCCTAACTTATAAAGCTGATGATTTTCTGAATTGCAGCTGACGCAGTTCCTCTAAGTCTGAATTCCTGCGATCCCTACGCCTTTCATGTTTTCATTCCCACCAGTGCCAGCAGTTTCACCATGTTTCATCCATGGATATTCCCACCTACTATGCCATTGGGCCACTGCACTGAGCCTCACCCGTGCAGCCAAGAGGCTTTTCCCATCAGCAGGTTCACCTGTGAACCTGCTGATGGGAAGAGCCTCTTGGCTGCACGTTCGCCATTTCTGTCTCGCCCTCCTCTCTTGCGAGAACCAAGGGCGTTTTGCCTGGGAACCACAGCAGACATTCGAACTGACCCTTTCCAATATCCCTTCAACTGATAGCCGTACGGGCTGCAGAATTTGACATGTGGAAACAATGTGCGGAAAGCGCTGTTTCATTCCTCTCATTGGCTCACACGGATGTCAAAGACATGGATGAACCCTAAACCCTAATCTTTCAACAGACACGCCCCAAAATCACGGCTCTTGAATTTCAAGGGAACTTTGAAGAGAAGCCTGAGATGAGAAATCCACGGAAATCCCATGCCATCCCATGCCCATTGAACTTGAAAAAACTTAGAAAATGTGTTGAAATCAAGGCCGCGCCCTCCAGGAGAAATTCGACGACCGCCATGTGGTCGCCGACTGCACAGTGCAGACCGTCGAGCGCCGGGACCGCGGCAGCCTGGAGCGCAGGCAGCGCCGGTCGCAGCGCTCGACGGCCTGGCGGCATGACCTGCGAGGTCGTCCATTGCTTCATGGGG